ATCACTTCTCCTCCATTCTCCTCTCGGGATCTTGGGCACGCATGCACACGCGCCCGGCGTGAGTTTTAAGCCACCGGGTCCGGGACACGAACCGCGGTCGACTACGTGGGAATCCAGCGACATAGCCATTACGCTAACTGCTGGTTCCCCCCCTCCATATACTCTTAAAACTTTAAATTTTAATTAATTAAATTTACCAACTAAAAGTCAGACCAGCAGAATGGTTTAAAAAACAAAAAGAAAGAAAACTCAGGAGTGGGACCAGCAGTTGGCATAATGGCTATGTCTTTGGAGTCCCATGTAGTCAACCATGGTTTGAGTCTCATATCTGGTGGCTTAAACTCACACCGGGCACGTGTGCGTGTGTGTCCAAGATCCAAGAGGAGAATGGAGGAGAAGGGATTGCGGCGTGGTCATCCTCCCTGGGGGGTGATTTTTGCTCTCTGTCTCTCTCTCTGTTTTTCTGGCAAGCACACGTGCTCTATAGCAAAAAACTCTAAACAAACAAACAAACAAAAAACCCAGGACTGAGCATTCTATATGCCTACAAGAAATGCACCTCATTGATAAAAACATACATAGACTAAAAGTGAAAAGCTGGAAAAATATTGCATGCAAATAGAAACCAAAGAAAGGCTGGAGTCATGATACTGACATCAGACAAAATAGACTTCAACACAAAAACTGTAATAAAGGACAAAGAAAGACACCATATAGTGCTAAAGGGACTAACACACTAAGAAGTTAGAGCACTTAAAAATATCTATGCCCCCAACACTGGAGTACCTAATACATGAAAGAAAGTTTGCTTGATATAGTTTGCATTTTTTTAGATGACTAGTTATGTTGAACACCTTCATATGATTTTTGGACATATTCACAATGATGACTTAGAACAAGTGTATTGACAATATATGTTTCAAGTTTGAAAATGACACAGGATTGGAAGGGTTTTTTTTGTTTGTTTTGTTTTGTTTTCCCCTAAAAGAAGAATCTAAATGCAAAAAAGAAAAAAGTTTCAGTAAGCTAGTCTCTGGACCGCTAGGACTAAGGTTTTAATCAAACAAGGAAAATTAACATGTTATGAACTTGGGGTCTCAAACCTATCTTGTGAATAAAATGGGAGATATATGGTTTAACAGTAGTTGAACAAATCAACCCAGAGACTTCCAGATTTCCAATTTACTGTAAATATAATGTGAGCCAAAGGCGTATTTAAAATGCTATTTGAAAGCTACTTGTACTTTTGACTATGTTCCTTGGAAATGTATTATCTAAAACAAGAAGTGGAGCTCTCCTGTCCTGTGTTAATCAGATTTACACTTGGACAACTTTTTCCAGTTATGCACCTCATATTCTAAAAGGAATAAAGAAATTTAAATAGTAACTAGAGGACAGGAAGAAATCTGGGTAATGATGAGCCTTACAACAGTGTCATAAGACAAATGATGGAAATAAATGTATCAGGAAGGGTCCTGAAGAGAGATTGTATATTGAAAAAGGTAGTATAAGCAGGGTTTAATAAATGCCTAATTATAAATAAATGTGGAAGTATAGGGACATCACAAGAAATAGTGATATAACTTGAGGTTGGAAACAAGATAGCACCTACTTCTAACTCTAGGTTGAGAGAGAAGAGAGTTACTGGAACCTGAAGAAGCTGGGAGATGTGTGGAGAGAACCATCAGGAGAAAAGTGATGATTTAGGTGAAGAGATAAAACATGATGACAAAATTCATGTAGGAATGGAACCAGCAGAATATGTACTCTGACTTCAATGCAGTAAGGCCTTCCCATTGAACAAAACTAACCAGCAGTCAGAGAACAGAGAATCTATTATAATATTGCTCATGGATTTTTTTCTTTTTTTTTAGAGAAAGATTTTTTTTGCTATAGGGTGTGTGCGCTCACTGGAGAGATAGAGATTTGGAAAGCAAGAAATCACCTCCGTGCAGGTGTATGGTCATGCTGCAGTCGCTTCTCCTCTATTCTCTTCTTGGGATGTTGGGCACACATGCAAA